ACAAGAAGCTAGTAGTTATCCAGACCGAAGCCTCGAGGTGTGTCTTTCTCTTTCGCCAGGTTTTGGGGCCCACTCTGTGAGAACTCCTGCACTTGCTCACTCACAGGCACTGACTCCTGCCGGGGGGCCCACCATTTGGTGTCGTATGGCAAATCGAAATAGAGGACAAGACAAATGGGCGGCTTACTAGTAGCTTCCTGCTACTAGTAGCGATGCACTTGTTACTAGTAGCTTCTTGTTCCTAGTAGTCATGCCAGGAACTAGTAGCTTCTTGTTAGTAGTAATGCCCTTAGCTACTAGTTGCCTTATAGGAGGCCGAAGAGTCTAAGGCAAGGACTTGCAGTTGCTGTTTTGTTCCTCACGTCAGCGTAATGGAAACCTCCAGAACCACATGCATACTGGAAGCCAAGGTGATCCTTCAGATGGAAGCTGTCGTCATCCGTGCAAAGTTAGAAAGAAGATAAAAGACTTTAAGGAACCTAACATAGATGGCCTCCAACCTAAGAGCAATGGCCTCCAACCGGTTCTTTAAACATGTGTTGGAAAATGTTGGAAAACCGCCTTTTGCAGCCAAGGATGAACGATTTCAGGCGAAACATAGACTCGTCAGCGTTTTATGTGTAAATCTACAAGGCTGGAAGGCCGGAACCCCAAAACACCATTGAGCAAGGAGCTTCTGAGAAAGATCAAGCATGTTGCCCATGTTTAGTCAATTCTTCTGTTTGGCCATGGCAGGATGTCGAAATGGTTGGCAGGGTACGACCTGTAGCCAATGTGTTTCGCATCCCAGAGTGCGAGTACTGTGCAAGTTGCGAGGTCGAGTGCAAGTACGGATTCAAGATGGGGTTAGATGATGATTAGATGTGTTGTTTCAATGCTGGGCATGCGTTTTGACACTTTTGCAGCGACGGCCCACCACCGTAACGATGGTTCTTGTCTTGCATTGTCCGGTGTTCTTGTCTCACCTTACAACTTGCACCAAGGCCACCAACTACTATCCGGAGGGCCTGTGCAATGTCTTCTGTCATCCCTCCCTGTTGGGCAAGCGCTTGGATGATGGGATATGCGTGGAAAACGCGCTGCCCAGGTGATGGAGCCACGACTTGTCATGGATTTGGCACGTGCGAAGCCTTTACTGTATGTCTTGTGAAGCGTCGGAACATGTCCGAACCACAAATAGGAGCCCCTAGTAGCGTCCTTGCTCCTAGTAGCGATGCACCTTGCTAATTACTAGTAGCGTTCTTCATCCATTTTTCCAGAGTTTAGATTCCTTGATGGTCAACAGCGAAGGTGCAGTCCAGCTGGGCAATGTGTTTGTCAGCACCTCAGGATGCCGCTAAAAGGATAAACACTACAGTTAACCCTTTGGCAGCGCTTCCTGTAACATGGCAGTCATCGCACGCCAGACATACTCCAACCTAGAAGCGATGGCCTCCAACCTACATTTTGCAAGCAGACCTGTGGAACTGTTGGATGCAGGCACCGGGGCACGCTCTGTGGAATCCTTCTGCAATGAGTGCTTACCCCACTACTACCCCGCACAGGCGGAAAGAAACGGACGTCACAGCCTTGCTGTTTTGGTGTCATGCACACAGGATCTCAAGATAAAGGAAAGCTTCTAGTTGGGAGGAGGGGGAACGTACTTTTAAAAAGTTCTATTGTTGCTACAGGTGAAACGATTCCCAGTGAATTTGTTGTTTTCCTGTTGGTTGGAGCTGCTAGGGCCTGCTCATGGGGATCATTGCGGCTTTTTACGGGATAAACTAGATGTAGATGTCTCCCGAAGTCGATCTGACGATTAGTAGCGTCCTTGCTCCTAGTAGCGATGTGATCCTTATCGCTTTTGAAGCCGACGATTGTCAAAGACTCTGAAGGATGTGCTGCAAGTGCTCGGAATGACCGATCCGCCGGAGATTTTTGTGGAGGAGCTAAGACCACCATGCATGGGGAATCATGAATCGCTATCTCAACTGTTTGGGTGATGAAACAGTTTTTTAAAACTAAGAAGCCTTCTGGGACCCACGGAGGATTCTTGGATGCGGAGTGCTAAGTCTAGTAGCGATGCACTTGTTCCTACTAGCGTCCTTGTTACTACTAGTAAGGCACTTGTTACTAGAAGCGATGCACTTGTTCCTACTAGTTTGTTGAAGCACTTTCAAAGAGAAATCACAGGTATAAATACTCGTCAAGATTTGGGGTGAGAGCCGCACAGACATATCGACTCCACAGAACCGCGATGAACCGCGTTCGGACTGAATCTTCGGCCAAAGCAAACCTGCGTTTCTCACATAGCTTCTTGCTCCTAGTAGCGATGCACCTTGCTACTAGTAGCGTTCCTGTTACGGTCTCAAATGATCGGAGGAGATCCGGGAGGTGGACATTGACTGCCCAGGCTGGAATGGCACCGTGGTGGATGAACGCCTATAGCTGCGCACCTGGTATTCCTTTCGTGTCTCTTTTATATCTGTCTTTAGACATTTTTTGACCTTTAATTCAAGATCAATTGACCTGTACACCATTCTTTCGGTAGCCCGCAGCCACCTACAGAAGCCTGTGACTGTGGGGACCAGTGGCCTCCTAGTGGACCAATGTTTGTGCGTTTGGTCCAGGTGAAGAGTACAATGAGAGCAACGAAAGCAATGAGACCGAAGAGATGAATGAGACAAATCGCTCCGATAGCAATGGCAGCAGCATGGACATGGAAGACGCTGGGCTTCAGATTTCAGGAACACCTGAGTGTGTTGAAATCCCGCAGTCTTCTAAAGCATCTCCGCATCATCCAAAGATATGATGTTTTCTCGTAGAATACTTCGGCGAAGCATGCTGTTCTTTGATGTTCTTTGTGCTACAGCCATAACATTGTGCAATAGCCACAAGCTGAGGAGATGGAAGGTTGGGATTTCGCATTCACGCCGCCGCGCATTGATCCAAGTCACATCTTAGCACCTGTTTGCTTTTCGATTTTGAGTGTTGTCCATCAAACCAGGTTCCTCTCTGTTAGGCCATCGCTAGTAGCTTCCTTTCTGCTGTTTTTAGGGCACATGGTGGAATAGAGAGAACTTGTACAATGCAACAGTGAAAGAACCTCCAGGACGACGCCGATGCCGAGTCAACATCACTGTGAATGTGTCGGTGAACACCACAGGCATATTGCTCACAGATGTTGTAGGAAAGGAAGAAAAGGACAGGTCTAAAGTCTAATGGTCATAGTCATAGACTTTAAATATATCTTGGAGAGTGCATGTGATGCACTCCTAACAAAGGCATTTCTACTAGTAGCAAGGACACTACTAGTAGCTCCTGGCCTTACTACTAGGAGCAAGGACGCTACTAGTAACAAAGGGCATCGCT